CATGTTCTGTTCTACCCGTGCACTTGACCAAGTAGTGGAGCAAGTCCCATTGAACCTTAATCTAACCTTATCCGATTCAAATGACCCAGCATTGCGTAGCCTCATAACGCAAATTGTCCACCAGGTTAGGCAGACATTAATTTCACCTGGGTTAAGCGACACTAGGTGTTGTAGGGATGGAGGTTTGAGTATCCCACAGTCTCCTAAGGAGACAAGTCAGTCAGCTATGGGTATACCCCCATCCAATCTGTCGGGGACCAGGCTAGTTCTCCAGTGCGATGTGAAAGAGCCTCCCATTTTCCGCGGAGAGGATTCTGACAAATTTGCCATACATGATTGGGAGGAATTGATGGATACATTCCTACAAAAGCGGTGTGTTCCTCTGGCTGATCAGGCACATGAGATTCTCTCAAGGCTGATGGGAAAGGCTAAAGATGTAGTAAGAATAGCACTTCGCAGTAATCCAGCTCTTAAACCAGCTGAAAATCCGAAAGTGGATTTTTGATGTGTTGAGGCAGCATTTCAGCGAAATCAAATTCTCATGTATGCCTCTAGCTGACTTTTATAGCACTCTGCCAATAACGGGGGAAAATCCTATTGAATATTGGATTCGTTTAAACAAAGCCGTTGACGTAGCACAGGAGAGTCTAAGGAGGATGGGTCGGCAGATTGAAGATCCCTGCCAGGTAGTTGTTATGATGTTTGTGAAGTATTGTCCGGATGCCTCACTCTCTGCAATTTTCACGTTCAAGGCCCCTGATAAGTGGACTGCAGGTGAGATACAGGAACATCTTGATAGGTATCAGTCAGAATTAAAAGAACGTCGGTCGGCTAGCGCTAGAGGTCTTCGTCCAGTGAAGCATGCCACTGCCCATATTCAGGCACCAGAATTGAGTAATACAACACCTATCTCACCTGAAGCTGCAATAGCGTGCGCCCCTCAAATTAATGACAATTGTATGAAAACCCTTGTGAATTTACTAGATCTAGCAGTCAACCAGAACATCCAGATGGCGTCCAAACAGTGCCCATCAGTTCAGTTACATGCAAGGCATTGTAAGGTCTGTAAGTCGAGTGAGCATTCAACCCTTGCTCACTG